TCGACGTTGCTTCAATTGTTGATAGATTGTCTGTGGAATAAGGCGACAAGTTGTGATGAGGGAGAACTACGATGCGAAAATTTTGCGGAGTGTTCACGGCGGTCTTGTCTGGGCTGTTAGTTGTTCGCATACAAGGCATGAGAATGGAACAGAGCTAATCACAGACATTGTCCGATCCTTCTGTTGTGGAGCATGCAGAGAATCTGCAGCCCAACTTTGCACCATAGAAGTATGGCACAAACGGTGAGCAGTGAGATAGGAGTTACAAAAAGTTTTGCCGCCCACTGCCACCAGTGTGGCGCTTGGTACTTTCCTTAAGGTAAAGGAAAGCATTAAGTTGGGTTGAACGTATGCATTATAGGAGGAAAGCGGTGAGATTGGATTTTGACCTGCCCTGAAGTTTGGCTTATGCTTACAGGTGTAAGACGACTACTAAATTAATTACCAGACGTAAAGACTGTAGCGTCCCAAGACCTTCGGGCCCGTATAAGAAGTCAGTAAGTGCAGATGGATACATGTATTCTGAAGACGACAGTACAAATGGGCCTAAGCATGGCTCGAAGTCCAGCCCACCTGTGTAAGGGTCAGACAAACCCTAAAGTGACCGCCAAACGCCGTGTGGTCACGTAAACAGAGTATTACAAAGACAGTAACGTAAATAATGAATTATAATGGTACCAGTTCCTCTCTAGCAGCTCTAAATGCTCTATTCTACTTCGTCTTTCTCCTATGCCTTACTCTTTAGTTTAAATTGTAAGCCCAAAACACTCGCATAGCAAAAAATTATCTGTATGCTTGCCTGTAATGTTTACGATCTACTGAGTGGCTATAATTTCCCCTTTCCAATTATCTGACTCGGCACAAAGTCCCTCTCCTTTGGTATTAGTAAATGTATTTCAAGTCAGAAGCCATCTTTCATTGATCTTATAGAAGGAGCTTAAGACAGTCTTAACATTCTAATGCTTCTAATTAGGCACTTGAGGGCAAGAGAACCCTTTCCTTTAAAATAAAACATTCACTCATGGCGGGAGGGATGTCGACCGGCGCCATCACCAGTGCAAGAGTTGCCTGCCTACCCTTCTGCCCTTTAACTTCGGACTTTAGGAGAGGGTTGGTTGCGGATGATTTATTTGGCATTTGTTACAGGGAACTGGGGATTGGGATACAGATGAGCCATATAGAAGATATCAACTGAAGAGAGAGTCCTCACTGTCTTCGCGCACGTGAATCGCGTTCCAAATTGGTTCCCACCTCTCTCTTATAAAAGTCCACTTAAAAAAACTAATATATATTACACAGTTCCCTTCCCTTTTAAGCACCGTCCCCGGTGCTGACCAGTAGGGTTCCGTCAGGCGGCTTCAATTTTTCTGATAACGTATAGACTTCATCTTCGTAATCTAGTGAGAGAGGACCCGTATAAGGTCAACTCTTGCTATGATGTATTGCCTGAGGCCGAGTAGCGATCTCCCCACTCCGAGTGGGATAATTCGTGGACGACAGGACCTTGATTATCTGGTAGGGTTCCTTACTTTAGGGGAGGGTCTGAGCATGGCCTGAAGGCCAACCCATGAGCACAAGAGAAAGCCAAATCTTTAAGTGACAGCTAAACGTCACGTAGTCACATAAACAAAGCATTACAAGTAGTAGAAGGTATTAAGCATGGCTGGATGCTCATATCTAGATAGTAAGTGTAGGGCGAGGCCATGGCCTGGCCTAAAGACCACGGCCTGGCCTAAAGATCACGGCCCCATTTCTGCCCTTTGTGTCTGAAAGCGAGTATTTTGACAAACCTTGTTTATTCTACTACACAAGGGAAAGCCTCGAGTTGCTTCACGATGGGCTGCTCTATAAGTTGCTAACCTGCCAGACAACCTGTTTGCTAGTCATACGAATTCGCCCCAGTTAGCGTGCTTACTATGTATCTGGCGACAATTCGGCTAAAGTTTAATCTAGTTTTTTAAAAGACCTTACTGTATGTATAAGTGAAGTGTATGCAATATGGTCTAATATAGTTTATGCGAAAGAATCTGTTTTTACATTAACGACAAGTCTCATGCTATATAAAAAAATGACAAATCTTACTGTTAAGCTTGCAAAGCATTGTGCATTCTGTTTTGTTCACGAAGAAATTAAATGCACAACAAATCTCATAAGACTGTGAGTTTGTTTAAAGAAGCTTTGTTTTAACCGACAAACACTATATCTGAAGGACAACAATGTCATCAAATTTCAGGTTTCGTGATGGATAGATCCAATGCAAGTGGGTCGGATAGTTCAGGTGATGAGGAATATATTCCTCCAGGTACATGAATAGTATTTTTACTTCGATTGGTTGCAGATTGTGTGGAGGAAAGCTCCGAAACTTCGGAAGATGAAGTCTCAGAGTTCGCTATATGCATTTTATCTAGTTTCGCTTTAGTGATGAAGTAGAACAGGGATTAAATTCCAGGAAGAGTAGTAAGCCTATTGAGGGGAAGGATAGGGATGAAATATGGACAGATTTCCTCAAGGGTACTAAGTCGCTGGTAATTTTTTCGAATTCATTCTTATTTTTTTTATCGAGAACCAGTCAATGCGACGCTCATCTCGTGAGTCTCAGTAAGTGTCATTGTTTTTGCCATTCATAGTGTGATAACTTTATTGATGCTTTCATGCAGGGTAAAGGTATTCTCATAGTATTGCAGTTTAATGTTTTTCAAGCTTACTTTCCTATTCATTATTTGTTTTGCTAATAATTTTAGGGAACTTCAGTCAAATTCCCACTCCACCTCCAGTTCTCTTCCTGCTATGTCTTCCCGCGGGTGCGTAGCAGCTTGGATTACAGTCTTTCAATTATTATATTGGCCAATTTTTTAACCTGTATTTTTCGTTTTGTTAGAATTGAGTCAAATTCCTATAACTCTTCGAAGGAAAAATTTGTTGGACTTGGAATAAAGTAGGCTGAATATGAGTTTGTGGATGGGCTTCAACTGCTTTTAGACGGGCTGCTCCCACTTCCAGTAATCGGTTGACAGATGCTATTAAGCGGCTGAAATCATCAACTCTTTCCACTGGCGTTCCAAAGATATCCGTTCTGGTTTGTCTACTTTCAAATTTTGCATCGTAAGTGTTTGTTATATTGACTAAAATTTATTTTTTCGACTGTTTTTGTAGGAAAAATCGAGATTAGATTGGGAATCTTTTACCGAGAGGGAAGGCATTAAAGACGACCTCAAGCTACACAATAAGGGCAAAAATGGGTGGGTGAATCCTTTATGTTTTGGTTGCGTGTGTTTAATGTCGGGAATACTTAGTCGTTTGCGATAAATGTTGACTTAGCACTTTTAAGGGTCTGGGATTTCCCTCTTTATCAAGATCCTTAAATTGGTCTTGTTCGAAGACTTCGGGGGTCCCTCTTTCTATAAATGAATGCTTGAACTAGTCGCTTTACTTGATGTTTTTGAATCGTCAGTGCGTTCTTTCTTTGGCTCAAAGTTTAGGACAAAATTTGCACCATTTGCTTTTATGCAAATTCTGAGAATACAGTCAACAAATTCTTGTTTGTCTCGTAATGCGTTCTGATTTTGATTGGTTTGAAACCGGGTTAATGAAACGCGAAAGATCTTACTCTAGCCTAATTAATTTGCCGATCGCCAGACTTACTGATAAGGTTATGCGCCACCTATTTGTTCTCGAAATGACTTTGGTAAAATCTTTAATAGGAATCTCCTGTGATGAGCCGCTGCTTTCCCAATTTAGAGCTACACAAAGATCTCCCTGGAAGTTTTGCACCACTGCTCTTCTTTTCCTTTTGAATAAGCCTTCACAAGCATTTTTTGCAATATATGTTCTGTCAAGTAATTGAACTAGTTCGAAATCAACTCGATTTGCACACACTTCCCAAGAGATGTTGCAAATTCGATCCTTCGTGGCAAGTCCGCTACCTACGGATGCAGTTTTGACTGACTCATCTCTCTAGCCATGCAGCAACACTAAGTTTTACAGCACTATTGTTATGTCTTGCAAATAAGTCGTCATAGAAAGAGGTACGAGACTGGCAGTTCATGTTTCTGATTATCAAGCAAAATCAGTCAGGCCCTTTCATGCATGCCACAGGTATAGCAGTTCTCGCAAGCGCCAACCTGACAGAATTTTCGTTATGCCGTGCAGGTATGTCGAACGAAAGGCATTTGAAGCACGAACTCAGGAGCGGGAATACCAGATACTGAAGGAGGCTCGTCTCAAGAGTATTCAACGACGGTGACGCCTCACCCTTTTTCGTATGTACACAAAATTTGTACATTTTCACCCCTTACCCCTTCATATGAGTGCAATCAGCAGTGTTTCCTGGAAAAATAGACTTAAGATATGTGTTAAGTGCTTGTTTATTGGAACACAAAGAGCTACAAGCTTAACTAAGTCCTGGTGTGCTCTCACTCATTAGCAGGCTCGAAAGTGTAGTTGTCGTGACCGTCGAATGGATACTGCTTTGGCATCTAAAAGAAAGTCGAAGCACCTGTTAGTCTGAAACCGAAATGAGATATCAAGCAAAGCTTTTCTCACCATGGGCTTGAAGACCTTGTACATATCTCCTAAATATGAGAGGGGGAAAACAATTAGTACTGGAGTGATCAACTTTAGTAAGGTTCGCCAACGTGGTTCGTTGTAGCGGAGCTGCTGTTGATAATTATCATAGCCCATAGGGCCGAAGAAATCCCAACACCATGGGATGGGCTCGTTATAGTTCCGCTTCAGATGTCCATAATCGTAGTGCTCATAGGGGTCACGGTGGAGTTCATTGAATGGCTCCAACTTTGGATAGTCACCGGGACAGTTCCCATCAGGTTCGTATGTCTCGTAGTCCTCAGGCAGGAGACCATATTTTTTTGCTGCGGCTTCACGCGCAGCCGGGGTGGTGGGGAAAGGTTTGGGCTTCCAATCTGCGTGCCAATCTGAAAACAAGGAAAGACACTTGGCTCCACTATGATGGCACAGGGATATAAAAGGCTCGCAACTTGTCGATAAGTGGAGACCTGGTAGCTGCGCTACGGAGTACCAAAGAAGAAAAACAAAGTCTGAATATCAGTGAATTAAGTCATTTGAAACTCGCCAAGGTGATTGAAGCGAATAAGATGAACTGACTACCAAAGGTATAGGGGCACTCACAAGCGAAATTTTTTTGTGAAAGTAGTGGCGGACTGGCCCTCAAAAAAGCAGAACCTTTAGAAACAAGAGCCATCTTGTTATGCGCACAAGCGTTATTAAAATTGAAAGAAAAGAGAGTACAACAGACAGAGTGCCGAAATGAGTCAAACGTCGAGACTAGGTTGTATTAGTCTATCCTAATGGAGTGTATTTAAACTTAGCAGCTACGTCTATTGTAAAATAATAGATTCCTAAAGTAGCAGAAAAGAAAAATAGTATGTTTTATCAAAAGTAATACATAAAATGTAAAATTTATCTAATGCTAAAGTATGCGGCAAAAGATTTGTTTAGCAGTTTCTCAGAGACTTGAAAAAGCGTATATACCCACTGTATTGTGCTCGTAACAATATTTAACTTTTTTGAGGTCTTGTTACAACCTTGTCACGCTGTTGTGCTTTCTTTGTTATAAGTCATGTTGTGGGATGTATTACTTCAAAATTTGTGTCTGTTATTGCGCATGAAAGGAATCGGAGGGGTTTTGTGCATTGTATCACTAGCAAATCTGATCTCATTGTAGATTTCTCTTGCATTAGCTTTATTTGCGCCTTCGTTTGGTGTACCTCTCTATATGTGATGGTTCTCCGATTCATCATGCAGCACAAATGCTCCATCGTTTTCTTTTAAACCATTTTGGCCTACACTAGCAATTGTACTAATTTCATACTTTAATCTTTGTGCCTGTCGTTTGGTTTCTGTTTTGTAAAGTAAACGCGATATCTTTCTAAATGTTTCTTACCTGAATATTTGTGATAATAAAACCTCATTATCCCCACTACTCATTAATTTTGTGCCAAATTTATGGGCAAAAATTACATTTACTTTTCACTTTATGCAATGTCTACATCTTTTTCATTCGCAAGTTTTCATGTTTCTTCCATCTTATGCATTATTTTGCTAGTTTTTCCTACTTTTTTCATTAATGTCGCCATATATCTTGCCAGCTGATTGTTTTAGTTAAGTTTACTATATTCTTGAGCCGATTTCCTGGAATATTGTGGTTTAATACAGATTTGATATGTATATTTACCAGAATATGCCAAAAGCCCCAAGCATAATCTGTCTTGAGTTCATTAATTTGATTGAATTTGTAAATTGCTTCCATTTTTAGACCTCTCATTGTGGTCATGGCTCAATCAGCCGATTTTTGTCATCGAGGACTTCCCGTCAACCCTCTCATCCTCCTTCCAAGTGGATGGGTGTACAGTGCAGAGTGGGAGTCATTATGTCCTACCGAGGAGACGCTTTTTGATCTCCTCGATAATCAGTGTTTTAGTGCTGCTCTTCACTTCGCCATTAACCACCCCTCCTCGCCGTTTATTGATCCACTTAGACGACCTCGGGCTGTCTCATGGTTTAATTTGGAGGTCAATCCGGCCCTTAAAAATGATGTGGTTGCCATAGTTATCCCTATAGTTGGCTGGAAAAGAAATGACATTCTGCAACTTATGGAGACGTGCGATAAAAACGCCAACGTTGAATCTGATTGGTATAACACATGCTACGTCGAAATCCATCGTTGTATACAAAGTTGGAGGCTGACACAGTTGCTGAATCTTCGTGTTGCTGTGGCTCTTCCCTGGCCTGACTTAATCCCATATTTTGGCAAACAAAATCCATCTCAAAGTGAAAGTTCCTTCATAGATTTGAGATGCTTTGCAAGGAGAGGAATTGCTGTAAGCTTTATTAAGGGGAATGTGTTCTTCAGATATGAAAAGATTGTAGATACCTTTAAATTCGTTTTAAGGTCACCATCCTGCCAAATCTTTTTGAAGAGGCGACAAGAGAGCTTCTGCTAACTCTACTAATTTTGACGATTAAAGGCTATGGGCGAGGTAGGCTTGTAATTCTGAGGTTGCAATGGCGTAAAATAGTTGGCATCTTATTTTTCTTTTAGAGACGGAAACAAACTTTATTAATGGGACACGAATTATGCGATACTTTGCCAGTGTAGTGGTAAAAGGCGGATATTTGTTAACCTTATAAGTAAAATTAAGCATTCAAGATTCAGGCGAATTGTTTGGCTAAACGTTTTTAGACAAACTGAAAATTCAAGCAATTAAGCTATAGACACTTCACTTATTTGCATAGACTTTAGTGCGAAACGGTTTGTTGACGCGATTTAGCTGATCGTCAACAACGGTTTGAAGTTCGAATGTTGTGATGAAAAAGTGAACTCCGTGTATGCAATAACTCCACACTTTTGCATTAATCAAATGTCTATTTTAAGTTTTAATCTGTAATTGACTTTATATTTTAGAATTCCCAATACCTCTGGTAGACTTATTTCACTATGACCCCCACATCTCATCACCACTTCCTCCTCCTGCTCTTTTATCCTCAGTAAAATCGACAACAGCCCCAATTCTTCAGCTACCTAGACGCCAAGCGAATTTGTCTCAATCATTAACTCAAAACCGAAATGCTTTTTCCCCACCTGCTGCACAATCTACAACTGCACCACCGACGAGTCTAACCCTTGCTACTCAGCACACGGATCGTTGCTTTTTACAATATTCAAATTGGATACCCTTGTCTGGACCCTACGGAAGCCCTCATATTTGTCAGAAGTCGCTCCGGGATGTCGTTGTAGGATTTCTGGGTCTAACGACGAAGTCTGCTAGAGATATGGCATTCCTGCTAAAAAACGGATTTGGCATGAGGGTGATATACCATCAAAGGCATCCGCTGTCAGTATTTGTTGCTGCTTTTTTCTACTTATGTAGCTATAAGTAAAGCTATCTTTTACCTAGTCAATTATTCCATTCATTTATGTTTCACCCATAGCGGATCTATCCATATGTCAGTGACCCACTAATAAATTTTAAAGTGGCAAACATTTCTGTGCACTAACTAAGATTCACACATGGGCTCATTTACCATCTTTTAATAACCACGTCGAGTTTCTCTAAGTAGGATTTCTTCAATTATTTCGGCCTTAGTGGCGGTATGCGTCTTGATGCCGCCATTGACACTGAAATAGTTACTGGCCCATCGACTCAGTTACCCATTACTCATCCATGATAGATTTTATTATGCGTAATCAGTTCAACAGCTCATTTGTCCATCAAAACGTCATATATTTTTGTTATACCTGTTCAATTTGCGGTTTTTTTAACTTCTATCCACATACTTGGGTTAGATTTGCTAATAATTACTTTGACTTCTGGGGCGCTTGCATCCAAAACTTATTCCTCTCTTAATTTTATTTGGTTTTTCATTCGTTTCGATGCTATCTATCCAACATTTAAAATCCTGTTAAGAGTTAATTTTATTACTCGTGGAACCAGTTAGCACTAGGAGAAAATACTTTTAACGAGCTTTTTGCAATAATTTTATGCAAGTCCTATTTTATATTAATCATACCACAATTTATCTGTTAAAACTGTCATCATTTGCTCTACCTCAGTTCATCGGACTTTAAATATCCACTCCAGATCAAACTTCTTATTCTAATAAAGTCGCTCACTAGCTTAAACATGGCTATCATAATTGACCAAATTGATCACTCATTTTCATCCATCAGTTCACGATACACCTTGTGCACAAACCACCTTCAGTGCAACTAATGCCGTCTATTCCTCACAGATCATGCATCGAAGGAGTCGATTTTGACCCCAATATGCCGACCTTTCTACACAATAGTGACGTTGTAATTATCATGGACGACTGCAGCGATCGAAGAGCCTCACTCTCCAAAGCCCTCAGATCACGATCGCCCATTCGGCAAAAATCTACCAAACGTTCCAGATACTCCATTCAGGAGGAGGATTTTCGGTATTTTAAAAACACAGGCATCTTTATTTCAACCTGTCCCGTTGAAAACTTTAGTTTTTCCACCCTCGCTATGGCTCTACGTAATCAGACACTTTCCGGTGCTGCGTTTACCATTCCCATGGATGGAAGCCTATCATCGGATGAGTTACAATCCCTTTATTACATGAAGAACGTGTTGGCAGTACCACCTCCATCGACAGCCGGTTTCGCGCCCAAATTATTGCGTCGTCAGCTGGCAGGTCTTGTTTTGCAAAGCATTTCAGAGGGTCTTGGTCTACCATATCTCGGTTTCTCGGAACTTGTACCTCCAAGCGATTTGAAAAGAACTTTCAGTTATTCTGGATCAAATAAGCCTAAGAGCAGAGGAGTTCCAAATCTAACAGGCAAATTTTGGAGTGCTTTACGCAGCGGACGAAGCGGAAGGGAATGCAGAGAGGACAGGAGTCAATCGTTGTCCGCTAGGTAAAAAAACAAACAAAGATGTAACAGAAATAATGGTCTCATGCGCCATTGTATGCAGAAGTGCAATAAATGTGCTTACAACTGCCTCATTTCTAAAGCGTTAAACCTAAAATTTCGGCAACTGCTTTATTGCCATAGAGACCTTTAGCTAATCACGTTTTTGGAGTTTTAGGCTTCAGTTCACCGGATGATACAGTCATGAGAGAGTACCTTTTTCATAGACAAACTTTAAGGTGAGTCCCCTTGGTTTCCTGTAGTTTTAAATGTAAACGTTCTGGTGTTTTGAGGTTAGACATTCAACACTTGAAATGCTGAGAAAGGAGCTCTTACCCTTTCACATTCATCGTTGTGTGACAGAGGGCTGTTCACCAAGAGACGCTACCTTCCTCCATGCCTAATTGCCACGAGTGGGTGTTTAAGTTTTCTTGTCTATCCGGATGATACAACAGTTATGAATTGGAGACACAACTTATTAGCAGGAGACGGTTAAGGCGACTACCCCCATTAGATGCTGGTGCAGTTGCGGAAGTAAATGAATTCTGCGACTAGAATTTTTATTATCTAAATGCGCTAAAATTGAATTCCACTCCTTGCGTTACCAAGTTCTTTTTAAACTAGGAAATATTAATGCGTTTAAAGGATGAAAAGTCAGACAGGAAAATTGTGATGTTATATGTGCTTGACGTTAGCGAAGAAGGTGTTTAATATTCGTGGGATCAGTGAGAATTGTTTTCTTTTGCAATGAGTAAACAAATTGTTGAGCTGTGGGAGACGAGAGAGGAGGGCGGGGGGAGGCAACAATAGAGATAAGAATTTTAGATACGCACAACTCGGTGGGCGACATTTATAAACGTCTGTTATCGAGACGTGGGAGGTAAATCATGCGCATCAAAGCGGATGCATTCGTGGTCCGTGCTTTTAAGGTCGCTGATTTGACGTTTGCACTGTGTGTTTGCACGGTTGAAGTATACGCCCCCTTAGAGTGGAGTCTCTTGATTGTAAAAGGACTCAAAAAATTTAAGGTTCCTGCGGTTCAAGCGAACCCGAGTTTGGGACTATCAATTCGAAATTCCATTCCTTGCCCACCCACTTGGCATTAGTCGGTTGCTTATTCACCCACTCATCCCCTATCAATTCTTTTCATTAATATGTTTCATTCATCTTATCATTCACTGTAAGCACAGGGTTGTTTTGCCTTTTCAGTCATCTTCCGTCCGCCTATCCACTACTAGTGCATGCTTTAAAGACTTTTTTCTGCTGCAGCACTTGCTGATTAACAAGGACACAGACTTTACAAATTCTCCAATTTCAGCCAGCGTGCGCACTGCAGGCATCGCTAAAATCGCTATTTTAAATATCCATCAATACAGTCTTACAGTTGTAGAAAGGAGTCAACTGATCACTGTCAAATGTTTTTTCTCTGCAGCAACATAATTCACTTTCTTCTCATTTATTCTCTTTCTCATGTAATCCAGTGACTAATAAATGTCATGAAGGCGTGATACTTATCACCAAGCTGGCAAAATTCAGAGATATTGGGGGCATCTTCGCAATCCCATCCAAAGGATGATGCATATCCATTTCCTCGTTATTTGCATTAGGGCAGTGTGAGGACTAGCAGCTGTTTTATCTTTCTTCCATTTGAAAAACTTTTATTGGTGCCTTGTGTTTACTAAGGAGAGGCCTTCCCCCGCAAACCTTGCAACTGTACCGGGTAGGAAAAAATTGGTGAAAGAAAGAGCATTTTCTTATCTTAATTTCTCAGATCGCCATTTATTTTAGCCTAACAATAACCTCAATTCCATGCGACTTGTCATTCTAATCAAGGATGGCGGATCCTTCCTTCTCATCCGAATGTCACGCGATCTTTGAGTTGATTTACTTTTTAAGCCATTTCTGGGCGGAGCTTTTACAACTGCACTCCTTTTGAATGATTTGGAATAAATTGTACAAGACGTCTCTACAGACAGTCTCGGTTTCCGCCCGCAGGTCTCAATTCGCTTTCTCATCGTGTGATAACCTCCCGTCGTGGGAAGAGGAGCTCAAAATCCATTTATAATTACCATGCAGAAGCCTCGGGACAGTCAGATTGGTCAACATTTTTAAGAATATACAACCTATTTTAAACAATCTCCATAATAACTTTTTCACCTCATCTATCGTTTACCAATGCTCTAAGAATGGGGAACATAAGATAGCCCCTTTTTCCACCTCAAGTTGCACTTGCCTCAAATGTTTAAACACGTTGCCGCATATGTTTTAGATTGGGGCTTTCGAACTTGAGCTGACGCGTTGCGTGTATGGAGAAGGACTGAGAGGCAATACTTCTCAGCCCTACCTTAGCCCGAATAACCGTTTTATCAAAACAACTCACCGAAGTTTTGGTGGTGGTGAGGTTCTTCAGTGATCTGTCAGTTGTGTTTCGTTTGCACACAAAAATCAAGCATTCTTCATCCTCAACATTCATTTTTCTTTAATAGGAACTTCTTCACACCATTTTCCCAATGCAAAAGTGGATTTTACTTGCTCAGATCATTTTTTCAGTCATGAAATGGTCGATTCCTTCTGACAGAATTGGGATTGTGTATGAAGCCATACTTGTGCATGCACTTGTACCCTATCAAAATCTCAATAGGCTCCTCAGTGATTAAGACGTGACTTAAAAGAGAATGAATTTATACATGAGAAAAAACGACACCACGGCACCTAATCTAACCGGAAAAAAAGCTAATTGGGTTTTTTGTTGCATCTCTTGAAGGGACTAATGTTGCCTGTTTTGAACTACTGAAGGCCATATTGACAGCAGGCATTAATAAGCACTGCTTGACACTGATAAATTATCCCTTATTTTCTTTTGGTGAATCGTATAGTTCTTCTATTCAAATTTCTTCCCTTGCGTTCTCTTCCGCCCTCTTATCCTCCATCTCGGAGGCCTTGGAAAGTCACAATCTTGAACACCATCGTTGGACCAATGAAAAGTGTCGGCAAAATGACAAGCCCGGTCGTCATACCATTAAGGGTAGTGGTGGCAGCGGCGGCGGCGGCAGTAGTGGTGTTTCGGTGACAGTTTTGACACCCAACAGAGGGGAGGGTGAGACTGGGAAGAGGAAGTGGAAGTGAACTAAGGGATAAGAAGGGCAAAGAACTTGCTTGTCTCCTCGTTTTTTTTGGCATGCATTAATAAATTGCAAGTAGAAAGTTTGGAAGTAATAGGGGCTTCAATGACTGGAGTTGGATGAAGTTCCAGTGCCTTTCGCAATAATCGACAAGAGCTTCAGAATACAAAAGAACACTTCTGTGGGAGAAATTAATGCAAACTAACTTCATTGCATATTTAAGGATTACATTAGAGGATCAAAAAGAGCATTGGGAATTTTTGCTGCATTTTTTAGCGATGACTTGTAGGCACAGCTGAACAAAGACTTGCATCAATTGACAAGTAAAAATAGCAAAATTTTCTCTGACTTTGGAATTCTCTTCCATTTTCTACAACATTCGGTGACTGTTTGGAATAATAAAGGAGAGGTCAAGTTTTCAAATGGTATAGCGAACGGCATTTCGAAAAGTCGTCAATTTTTTTTTTTGAGAAGGAAGTTCCTTTTCCTTTGAATAAAACTAAAATGAATTTTTAAGGGGAACCAACAATCAAAAAGGACAACAGTGTGTTGGAAATGCTTGTAGTTGTGAATGCCGTAAAGTTCACATTAGCTCTAAAGTGATGACAATGTTTTTAAACAAAAAACCATTTGTTAGTTCTTCTCCTCCCTCGCCTTTCCAATCACAAACACCGTGCACTTGCCATTGTTCACAGCTAATCGACGAGTCGACAGGCCGACTGTCCAACTGACCTCTGCATTCGGTAGCGCTCGTTAGGGAAGACCAACGCATCACGTCACTCCATATCACCTCCTTACTCCTCCTCCACTTTCATCCATGCTGCAACAGTCACCTTCCTCCAGAGGTCTATTCATTCCTCCATCATGCAATTGCAGGGGAGGGCGAATTCGCAACGGAGAATGCAAATCTGCGAGGGAAAAGGAGGTGACTTTGTCTACGCTTCTTCCGTCTAGCCACAAAACCGTGGACATGTGCAGCCCATAGGGAAACGAGTTGTGTTGAGTTTGTTGTTTAAAAGGCTGTTGTGAGGATAGTGAATGTGTGCTTTCCGTTGCTCACCTCTTTTTTAGCAATTGGCCATAAATGAACTCTGTAAATTTGACAAGGACACGACCAGTTACAAGTTCCTCCTCCCCAACGTATGTTGTATAGATAACATTTTCTGTGAAATTCGTCAACATGTGAGGGCGTAAATGGATGAATAAATGAAAGCCACTCACATTTAATTCGGCAAAGGTCAGAAGGCCGAGACTGAAATGCCTGAGAAGAAAATCTATCTGTGAAAAGATATAATTTTCTTGTGCAAAGGTCCCACCGCTTCATGAAAATGCCATCGTGTCAGAAAATTTTGTTTCCAAATTCGAAGTTGGCTATTATTTGGAACAGAATTTTAGTCGAAACCTCGAACATTTAACAGATTTAATAGATTCCTTAAAATGAACACTGGTTAAAGTCACGAATATGAGGAACAGATTATAAAAATTATGTTTGATAGGAAGCTCAAAAGCCTAGGAAAATTCGTCATCATCCTCACAACAGCCTTTTAAACAACAAACTCAACACAACTCGTTTCCCTATGGGCTGCACATGTCCACGGTTTTGTGGCTAGACGGAAGAAGCGTAGACAAAGTCACCTCCTTTTCCCTCGCAGATTTGCATTCTCCGTTGCGAATTCGCCCTCCCCTGCAATTGCATGATGGAGGAATGAATAGACCTCTGGAGGAAGGTGACTGTTGCAGCATGGATGAAAGTGGAGGAGGTGATATGGAGTGACGTGATGCGTTGGTCTTCCCTAACGAGCGCTACCGAATGCAGAGGTCAGTTGGACAGTCGGCCTGTCGACTCGTCGATTAGCTGTGAACAATGGCAAGTGCACGGTGTTTGTGATTGGAAAGGCGAGGGAGGAGAAGAACTAACAAATGGTTTTTGTGCACTATTTTTTCCTCACCTTGGCTGTGGCGTAAGAACGTGTCTTTCTATTTATTTAAATAGTCGCTTTAGGTGTTCCCAAATCAGGCAGCTACTCAAATTCACATGCCAAACCATTTTCGATTGTTATTGCTTGAAGCAGTCTTCTAAAAGGGGTTCTTTTGAGTATATGACTAATCAGTACATGTCATTATTCAATTCTTTTCAAATTTGTTCTTTCTACAAAGACAATCTCACCCTCTTATAATGGTTAGACATATGATTTTGGACAGTTTGTGGTTGTCTCCGAATACCAAGTTCTACACAGGCTTATTTTTTGTAGCAAACGTCTTCACTTCCTCCTGTTACTACCACTTAAGTGTGTGAGAGATACTGTACTAATCGGCTGAATTTTTTCTCTTGTAAATGTTAATGTTCTTATTTAAAAGGAAACGCTGCACGAATTTAAAAGGCAAAATATAAACGCTAATCATCTTGTCTCATGATCCACCTTACCACAAGGGGTCAATTCGCTTAAAAAGGCGCAACATGGAGTAGCTCGCCATCGAGCGAGTGTGTCCACCGCCACCCACATCAACGTTTTGCCCACATACCAAAGCACTTCTGATGCCTGGAAGGGTGGGTACTCTGGACTTGAAAAGTCAGTTCTGACCACATAAATGTAGAATCTCCATTTGTGTATTAGGGCAACTGCTGCCCGCCTCACGTCCACTGAATGCACGTACATTTCAGGATCCTTTGTTTTATACGAGTGTATGAGAACTAAATAATGTTTTACCCTAATTAGTCGATCTTTTCAACAACCTGTTGATGCACTTCTCACTCATTTATCAAGACACACAGAAAAATCTTGGCCTAACAACTATTTACGTTTCACTTCCAATCTGTGTCTCTCTGGGCTGAGTGGAGCAGACGAAGGGAAAAACGACTTCCTCCATCGAGGCGCTGGTTGGTTGTCTGGGTGCTCCAGACATCCAATGGGAAGAGGCAGCAGCACTAACAGCAGCAGCTCTATTCAAGTTTGTTTTGGACAGGCCCTAGGGTCACAAGGTAACGTTTTTTGCGACTGCTGGAACTAGAATGTAGCGGAAGGAAGGCAGGTGGACTGGGAGCAAAGTGGTTAGTCATATGGAAAGATGTGGGGAGGGGAAGGGAAGAGGGAAGAGTGGCTACATCACGTAGCTTCAATGCTGACATTAACTTTCCAATGTTAATATGCTTGATAAGCATCTTAGCAATTAACCGGTACAGCGCCGTAGTCAGTCTCAGTGCGATGGTGCTGCCAAATGCCGCATGGCGTTATGCGACTCAAAACAAAGAAGGTTTCCTTGCTTAAAATATTGATAAAACAATTTAAATTGACATGACTTCTGTCTGCCTCATTCGTTACCTGACTTTGTAGCTGTGCAGAGAGGCTCCACCATGTCAAATCGCCTAGCGTAGGTGGTCACTGTAATAATATTGACATTTTCTAGTCAAAATTTACCGCAAAGCTATTGTCCCAGCATTCGACGTCTTTCTCATGAAGGCTCAAGAATTACTTCTTTATATCAATGGCAATTACGATTGCACAATAATTCCTACCTCTGCCCCCTTCAGTCCACCTTACATTGTACCCATTTGCCCGTTCCATTATTCCTTTGTTTTCTTATTTCCTCGTACTTTGTTCCGGGCATACCCTTTCAATTGTGGAACAGTCCTGGAGCGCTCACTCAAGGCTTATTAATTTCCACACAATAACAAAACTTCAGTCTCTTATTTATTCGCAAAAGAATGTATTTTTAAATTCCTTGCTCTAATCACTCTTATTTCCCCAACTGTATAACAAATCAAATTAACACTTGAGAAGTTATTTGGACATAAAATCCTCTTGACGACTTTACATCGCCAAAGTCCCCTGCAAAAGTACTCCACAAATTAATATACAAATCGGTGTTTTCATTACTGCATTTACAACTCAACCCGAAATAAAATCAGCAACGTCCATCCTCGTCATTGATCATCAGTCAGGCTTCAGCCGTGCTTCGCATGCCTTAAGTTTACGCATCCATCAATGTCACCTCCTTCAGCTCATCAATCATTCAGCTAGCAAGCACAGTCAAGTCAATGAAACCGCGGGGAAAAAATGTGTCTACCTAAAAACAACTAAATTGGTATGCTAACGTGTATGCCTTCGGGTGAATGAAGACGTCGGGGATTGCAGATGTCTCCAAATCAGTTGAACAACACTTGACTGAATGCTACCCAGCGATTCCCATCCGGTGCTCGAAAGGTCTAATTATGCCCTTGTTAGAGTGACTAAAATGCTGACTGACAAACGCGAAGCGATTAAACTTCCACCTCAGCCATAAACATTGACATAAGAAGAAGATCCTCATGGCCTCTAAGAATTGTTATTATGGGGGAGGGGATACGTTTAACGCTGTTTTCTTCCAAAAATATTTGCCACGAACTTGCTTACTCTTTGCAAAGTCTTGAATTTAAGTTGGCAAGGTGTGTGGAGTTGTAAGACGAGGAGACGAAAGAGAGCGTAGACTACCAACAACAAGGCGATGGCGAATGATCAACGCCGTCAAGCCGCACACCATGGATTGCCAAAGGTGGGTCTGTTGCAGCTTCTAACTTGGAGCAGCTCCGCTCCTCGTCAATAGCGTGGAGCCAGAAGATGTGACCACTGGCACACAATTGAATATTGGGTGTGACAAAAGCGAGGAGCACTGCCACACACCATTTCCATGGCATCGCAGCAGATGAAGGGAGACGTAAATATGTAACCACTGGCTGTCTAAATGCATGCGTGTACACGTGCACATGCAGAGGTGGTTGAGTGTGTTTGCTAAAAGTGTGAAGTTTATCATCCATCCATTGCATGTGTGTAGAGGACGAGGGTTCTCCTTTCAGTGGCCTTTGCAAACAATGCATTTTAAGGGTAAAATGATGAACATTCAACACGTGGCTATCTTCGTCATTGCATTTGACTTGCAATGGCGATGTAAAATTAACAACGGTCAGTGGATTTACAATACCCACCAAAATCCACCAAGAAGATTAGCCTTCAGCTTTCCATCTTCCTTCCCCCCTAGCAGTTGAGCTGTTGCCCAAAGCAGAAGGACGGTCACATAAACTGCTGATACGAACTGGAATTGATGCGGCTTTATGCTACTCGTGGCCAAACTTCCAAAAGCCATCTGTGTTCCCTGACAGTATCGCTACCGCTACACTTTCATCCTTTGGGCGAATAGACCTATTGGATCGTGATGTTCCTCGTCTCCCAGTGGACCAGTTGTTATTCTTCCTGATTAAACAACTTTTGTGGTGTCCAGGTCAGTACATTTACTACCAATCATAGTGAACGATAAGTTGGTTGCATGAAGAAGGTTACTTTAAGGAGGCCTCGCATTTCTTTATTTGCTCAAGTGCAGGATAAAAGAAGCGGTGCTGGTGTCATCACCGCATCAATACTTCTTAGCAAAATGAATGCCTATCAGATCCCTTTTTACTTCATCGCTTACCAAAAAATAAAAAGGAAAGAGAGGTGATTCCAGAAGACTAGAGAGGATTGCTTTACATTGAAGTGATTTCTGGAGTTCAATATCGAGGGCTCTAATTATCTCATTCCATCCTTATATAAATTGAGTCTTGTGCAGCTTATGCTTTCAAAGTGACATCACTAGAATTTTGTAGCCTCTGACGCCCCAGTCAGATCAACTTGTGCACCTAGCACAGTTTGCATTTCGAAGAATTAGAGAAAGACAATTAAATGCAATGGTTGTCATTGAATTGTCCAAAAGTGTGATTAGTCATATCGGTAAGATAAGCAAAAATGTCTCGGTTTTGGTGCAAAGAGCAAGAACATGGAGGAGGGGAGAAGAAGAAGAAGTGCTGTAGGAGCAAGCAAGAATGCGCAAAAAGAAACTGGACAGACTTAGAAAAAGTTTTAACAAATGGATGCAAGAATGTACTAATGCGCCAGAGAGGAAAGAAGAGGGGAACGAATAGGCAAATAATTGCAAGGGGAATAGAAGGAATAACTATACAGCCAAATCGGCTGTAGCTTCTATGCTGACTTCAAAGCTGGCAGAGGTAAGCCTTAGCACTACGAAAAGCAGTAGAGGAAACAGTGGTAACATTTGCACGAACAAAAGATAAAAAACAGAGAAAGTAGAAGATGGTATAAACAAGAGAAAGATAAGACGGAAATCGTAGAATTAAAATCCTTTATTATTAAGCACTTCATTTTATATCACCACATTCGTGCCTCTCTTTTATTGCTCACCGCAAGCGCTCCAATGTCCAGCAATGGTCCTCCATCACAATGCAACAACACTGCAGTTTCTGTGGGGATTCGATGATGCACCACCTCTGCTCCACCCCTCGATGCATCCACTCCATCACCCATCGCATGCCATCAACTCTCACCGTCTCCGATTCCCTCATATTGTCCTCCTCCGTCGGTTGAGTGGTGCACTGATGAAGTCGATTCATTTGGCAACTCCACTCTACAAAGCCCATCCTCATCCACCTCCCAACTGAATGCGCACCTCCAACTCCCGTGGACCCCAATCGTAAGGTGGCGCTGATTCATCTCAAACCACTGTTATTCTCCACCTGTGTGTCTGCGGCTCCCCTTCTCCAAATCCCTCCCACTTCCTTCTCCTCGTGCGTGCAAAATGCACCACGAAGACGTTTTCAACACTCACCTCTGAAAGGCATAACGAGAAGGTGGGAAATCCCATTAGCATTCGCTGAGCAATGTTACCCCTCCCCGCCAAAGTGGTGTTGGTTGGCGATAGCTTCTGCTGTTGTCACAATGCCTTGCACCAACCCACGTCCTCTTGCGGTCCAGTTCGTCACCTCCACTGTCCCACCACCCTCAAGTCCACCTAAGTACTTTCGAGCCTTACTTGT